AGCTTCACATGGTCACCTTGAGTTCACAAAAACCCTCCTCTCTCACAAACCAGAACTTGCCCTTGAGAGAAACTCTTTACAAGGCACACCTCTCCACTTAGCTTCTGCAGAAGGCCACATGAACATTGTGAAGCAGTTGTTGAAATACGGTGAAGAGGCGTGCTTTGTTCGTGATCAGGAAGGCAGAATTCCCTTGCACTATGCAGTTATAAGAGGCAGAAGAGAAGTTGTGCTGGAGCTGAGTAGAGCAAAGCCAGAGTCCGTGAGGTTACATGATGACAACGGGGAAAATATTTTCCACTTGTGTGTGATGTACAACCACTTGGAGATCCTTAAAGATTTGATGGCTTTGGATATTCACAACACCAATAAGCTTCTCATTGAGCGAGACTCGGATGGCAAGAACACCATTCTCCATTTGGCTGTCATGCTGAAGCAAGTCAAGGTACTTTTTTACTTGTATAACCAGCTTGAGTTTGAGATCACATTACATATATAACTGTTTTCGATCTTTTTCTGGTTCTGTTAGGTATAAGTCACAAGCATAACAAATTAAATTTTCTTGTTGGTTGTTATGTTCAGACTGTGAGTTACCTCATTTCAATTCCAAAAATAAGATCAGAATCACTGAACTTGAAGAACGATATGGGTTGTACGGCCCAAGATATCGCTTATGGGTTTCCCAAGGACTCCAAGAGCCTTGAAATACAAGTCATATTGATGGAGTGTGGAATCAGACGTGGAGGGAGAGAGAAGATTGGCGGTGATAGCAAGGAAGAGAGATGTTGGATGAAGAAGTGGTCGTGGAAAATTGTTTTCAACCAAATAGACCAATGGTTCCAGTATAATGGCGATTGAGTAGAAGACATGAGGGGGAATCTAAGTCTGGTGGCTACTGTCATATCAACCATAACCTTTCAAGCTACGCTTAACCCTCCGGGAAGCGTCATCCAACAAAATATAAGACCCAGCGATCCCGATTTCAACCTCACTACCAGTTACAACACTTCTATCAATGACGGACCCCTCGGCTGCTTGCCGTACCGAGATAATTTTGGGTTTGACCGCTCTTACGGACCTTGTCCCGGGCAGGCCATGTTTGCTTATCGTGAGCCATATTACTTTGGCGAATTCATAACCTATAAAACCTTCTCTTTTGTGGCATCTCTGTGTGTTGCCCTCTTGCTTGTAAGCGGAGTTCCTCTCAAACATAGATTTGTGTTGTGGCTCCTATCCATAGGCATGGGCATAGCTCTCACCTGCCTTCTGAACGCCTATTTTCTTGGCCTCGAACCTCTTTCCCAAGACTCAGTGCAGACCGGAAAAACGGGGTGATGATAGCCACTGGAATTTTTATTGGTTTGTATGCACTGGTTGGTGTATACATTGCGGTGAAGTTTGTTATATGGGTGGTGAAGAAATTGAAGGACAAGATAACGAAAGTGAAGAAATAGAAGAGAAACTTGGCATCAGAAGTCAAGTAAACACTTGATGCGTCTTAGGTGTGTAGAACTTTTCAGGGGTTGGTTACCGTTAATGTTCCTTGTGTATGCATATATATATATATATATATATATATATGCACTTCTTAAATATTTAATGAATGGCCTGTGTTGTAGAAGTTTTCAGTACTGTCTTCCTCATCTTCACTCATCTCATCCTCATCACACAATTTGTATCTTAATATGCTTCAAGTTTTGAAGGTCGTCTCACTTGCTTATGTGTATGGGACGCCTTCTTCCCCCCATGAAATTACATCTCGATCTTTATTTCGTTGTTATCGTAAACCATTTTTATAACCTTTTTTTCCTTAAAAAAATAGATTAATTCAATGAAATTTAAGATTTATATGCATGGCTCACTTTCCTTTAAAAAGAAACTTTAATATATATATATATATATATACTGTTAAAGAGATGTATTGTTCTACTGATAGCAATCCTGTTTGAGATACTATCAGTACAAAATGTTGGCAACTTTCTCAATGAAGATTCAAATATTGACTTGTCTTGTTGTGAGGGATTAACCCCTTCTACTAGACTAACCCCGTTAATAAATTTTAAAATAATTAGTGATGTGCCACCATATCTTATCGAAAATGGGCCAAATGAGAATATGGGTTGTCGATGAAGTAAATGGGCTGAAAAATATGCCCAAGGGTTTGACAAGCATAGGCTATCAATAACAATCAAAATTCAGAAATATATGTATATATAATGACAGAACAAATGTCAAGCAAATGTAATACTGTTCTCATCACAGTATGGATACTATCATACTTTAGAAATAAAAAAATATGCAGAAAGGGAAATGCCAGAAGAAGAGAAGAAGAATTCCAAAAGGAGGGAGGGAGCCAACAGAAAGAGGAGAGATTGCAAAATCATTCCGCCCTCCTTCTCTCTTCGGAGCATCATCTCTACTAGAGACATTTTCTTTACTGCAGACAATGGCTTCACGTTTGGGGTAGGTAACAAGGGCGGCAAATTAGCCTTCGCCGCACTCCCCGCAGACGACACTCCCAGATTCTTGGTTCCTGCCCCGGTCACCATAGATTGATTCCGTGACCTCATCACACTGGCTCCACTATCCTCCTATTGGTATAGCTTGGCCAATTTGACTGCCCTGTGCAACGTGTTAGGGTGACGGGATACCACTTCATGCCATATCTCAGGCGTCAGACTACTTGTAAAGCAATCAATAAGGGCCTCCTCAGAGAGGCTTTCAGTGCGGTTTGCCAAAGCCATGAAGTGTTGACAATACTCCTCCATTGGACCGGTTTGCATCAGTTTAAACAATCTGGTCCTGGGTTGTTCAAGAAGTGAAGGCCCATATTCGGTTTCACCCGCCCGCGTCAGAGTGGCCCTATTGTGGATCACCTTGGTCTTTTGGAGTGATTGGAACCATGGAATAACATCACCTTCTATGTTGATAGCCACTAACACCAATCGATGCGAATCTGGGGTCCCGTAATAATCAAAGTACTACTTTGCAAGGAATATCCAATTTGTTGGGTCGGTCCCATCAAATTTTAGAAAATCAATCTTCACCTGTTTAGACAAATTTGACTGGTGGATCGAGCTCAACCCCCCTGGACTAGACCCTGGGTCCCACCTTGTTCTGCCAACAAACACCATTTGACTTAAATGTTTGATATTTCAGTTCTGCATTTCGACGTCTGTGCTCATTCCAGTTAGTGTCACCGTAAATTTTTCTAATAGGCCATCAGGTACCCAAGTGAAGGCTTCAATAGTAGCCTCAATTCGATCCAATCGTGAATTCTGACTAGCTGCCAGCTACTCAATCTTATCCGTAGTGTTCTTCTCCTGTTGCTCTAGTTGGGCGTTCAAAGACACCTCAATCTGATGAATGTGCTCATTTATGCTCTTCACCTCAGCTTGTACATCCTTAAATCGAGTTGCTTCGGCCATCATGACCCTCTCAATGAAAGCACCAAAATGTTATGGATTTATATATCAAACAACACAAATGGATAACAATCTGGATTTATTGATAACGATATTCTATCACCAATATGCAGTAACAGCAATCCAGACACAGAAATGCAAGCAACTACAATGGATATAATCTGAAAATAACAGAAAGAAAGCAAGGAAGCGATAAGGAAATAACCACAAGGGTCCAAATAGAGACAAACAAAAAGGGAATCCAGGAATCAGAGAGGAAGGGCCAGAGTGAGATCATTCACAAAATATTCCACACCTCCCTCCACTCAGCAACGACTTTTATTCCCGCATATTCCAGGTGGAGCTTCTGACACGTGTACTGTGCCTTAGCACCTTTCCCTCCTCATGGATCCTGTTACGTAGGCCTCTCTCACATTGGCATCTTGGGCTATGACATCAACAAGCCAGGATTCCCTTGCATTATGCTGTTATGAGAGGGAGATTTGAGGTTGTGATGATGGAATTGATTAGAGCCAAGCCAGAGTCTTTGAGCATGCTTCACAAAAGGAACATCATTTTCCACCTCTTTGGGGGAATTGGACACTACTGACACGTACGAGCTCCTCAGTTCAAGAGATTTGGATGGAAATAACACCATTCTCCATTTGACCGTCATGTTGAAGCAAGTTGAGGTACTTCAATTTTATTACCATTCACAAATTCTGTACTATAGTTTAACTAACTTAAGAGATTAGGGGGGGGGGGGGGCACAAGTATTAGCATGCTTATTTAATGTGTGGTTATATATGCAGACTGCAAGGGACCTGCTTTCGGTTCTTAAATAAGAGGTGGCAAATATGGAGAACTGCGTGGGTTACACTTGCTCGTGATTTTGTTAAAAGAATTCCACAGGACTTGAAGAGCCTTGAAACAGAGTTGATATTCATGAAAACTTTCATCAAAAGGGATGAAAAGACAAGAAAGGAAAATCTTCATCAGACACCGGTTACTGCTGTAGTTGTTGACGAAGCTTCTGGGAGACCAAAGAAGAAGCATAGGACAAAGAAAATTTTCAAGTGCATGGGAAAGTGGTTTAAGCAGAATGGTGATCGGTTAGAGGAGATGAGAGGAAGCATAAGTCTTGTGGCCACTGTTATTGCGACTATGACCTTTCAAGTTGCCATTAATCCTCCAGGAAGCTTCATTCAACGATGTATAGCTGATTCCAAAGGCAAATCCGCTGACAACGTGGGACCCCTCCGCTGCTTTAAGATGATTATTACGCGATTCATGCATGTCCAGGGGAAGCGATGCTTGCTTCTCGTTATCTAGATGCCTTTCGCATCTTCGTAATTTACAATACCATCTCCTTCATTGCATCTCTAGGCGTTACCCTTCTGCTCGTAAGCGGGTTCCCTCTGAAGAACAAAGCTGTGATGTAGACGCTATGCATAGGAATGTGTATCACTCTCACAGCCCTGGCCTTCACTGGCTTCAATGCCTCCTTTTGACACCAAAAGTATATAACGTAGCCAGTTTGACTTGGGTTGCATCGCTTGGAGTCGTCGGTGTACACATCGTAAGCGGAGGGGTTATATGGGCAGTGAAGAGATGCGTCAAGGTAATCAAACGTTGGATGTCAACGTGTGAAAGGAACAAAAACGGGAACATTTGCTTTTTGATATGATCTCAATCATTAGTGTGCTATATATACAAACTCTTTGGATAATGGCAAGAGTTTTCAGGCAAAATTATGTAGTGTTTCATATCCTTTTTATTTAGTATATAATATGTTCCGTAATACTTAATATAAGAGTTAGAAAACTAACTTGGAAGATATTAAAGAAATTTGTTAAGTTAGTTATTTATAATAAATGAATGTTGTTTTTCATAAAAATCCTTTATTAATCATTTGCATTGAAATTACTTTTTGATGAAAACTCTTTAACATATATACAATCATAATGAGAATACTTGGGAGCAAAATTAATAAATCTTAGAGACCAATAATTGAATTGAAATATTATATTTATGACCAAATTAAATATCCAACTGGCTCTTATATTAAAGACTAGAGTGAGTGTGAAGCTTAAAACAAGCATAGAATATATCCTCTCTAATATAGATTCATTAACGAAGAGAAGGAAAGAGATCAAAATGAGATTCAAACCCCACTTCAAACAAGAGAAGTATGCCATGCTAATGTTACTCGGATGATCCACATCCCAAGGCCTGGCATTGATGAACATATTGAATTATCTATGTGGCTAAGATTCATCACAATCCAGGCACAAGATGCAATTGCCAAGGGTGCGCTCTACCACCGAGAAGACCCCCATCTTGATACATCTTAACTGTTTGTTTTCGTTTTCTTTTACATTAAGAAACTTTATCAAGAGGAAGTTTGCAGCAGCAGCAACAAAAAGTCTTATCACATTAAGTGAAATCAATTATACGGGTTATGTATATCATGACATCGTGCTTTGTCACAACGAGTTCTTTGGATATTTCATTCTTCAATAGATCGTTTGATTGATAGACCAAATTAAACCCCCAAAAAAAAATATCGGGTGATAACTTTTCGTTTGTTCTCAATCTTTTTTACATCTCTTTATAAGGTTAAAGTCTTTGCTCAACCTCCTTACTGGTGCCTCTATTGATAAATAAATTTATCATATAACAAAAGCAAAACTAACTTGCTAGTTACTAAAGAGTTTGTGCTCAGAAATTTAGTCTAAAATATTTTAATATATATATAAATTATTTGTTGGGCGGATGATCCAATTAAGCCTGTATACTACTGTACAAAAATAGTTCGAATACTGATTAAATGGAATAGAAGGTCCATTATTCGTTCTTCAGGTTATATCTTTTTCTAATGATAAATAGGAATTGTTCGTTGATATATGCATCGCGTGGACTAATCCAAGTGATGTAAAATATTAATTAGATCAATATTATTACTTTCCATTAACTAATTTGGATAGATTAAAAAAGTTAAATAAATTACTTAATTATAACATATGTTACATGATTTTTTTTAAATATTTAAATATATTATTAGATTATATATCAATTTATAAATTAGGCGAATTAGTTTAGAGGAAAACGATATATACGTACACAAATACTTTTTAAAAAATTATTTAATTTTTTTAATCTTTTTAAATTAGTTACCTGGATTTTATATTAAGGACATCAGCTAGTATTAATTAGATGTTGATGGCAATACAAAAATAACAAAAAGTTGAGTTGGATACTTAAATAAGCACAGATCGGTCAGGGAGTGCTACATTATTGATCACATGATATGCGAGCTTGACTGCTAATTAAGGGTCCGTTTAGCAGGGCTTTTGGAGGGCTTAAAAGTAACTTATTTGTAGTGTAAACCCCATTGGAAAAATCAAGGTGTTTGATTGGGCTTAAAAAAAAAAGAAGCTTATGGAATTTAAGCTGGCAAACGTATGTTGTGGCTCAAGCTGAATTTTGTAGCTTATTGAAGAGCTTATTATGGCTTTTAACCGTTGTGATGTGTCAGGGTCAATTTTCTGATTTTCTGCCAAAGCTTTTTGTCTCTCACTTCTGCCATATTCTCTCATTTCAACTTTCTTTGTTTTTTTTTCCCCCAACCTCAGCTTTCACACTACTGCGTTGCCGTCAGAGGGTCCTTTTTTTTTATTTATTGTTCTTCTACCATTATTCCCTATTCACTTCTTTTTTTTTATTTTTTACCAAGCTTTCATCACCCATGACCCCTCTCAGATTAACGTAAAAGCTCATTACTCTGCGGCCCAAGGAGCTTTGTTTTTAAAATATTTTTTTTGATTTCTTTAAAATTTTAAAATTTAAATCACCCATTAAATTTCACTTCTTCATATTAAATTAATTTAAATTCATTATATTACACAAATTTATTTTTTAATCATGTTTCATTATTTATTAAAACTCATACCCATTTTGATCATTTTACAACCAATCTTACTTTTACTCAACCATAATCCAAACAACTTTTTACCAATATCATTTTTGCAAACTAGCTTTTCTGAACTCCAATCCAAACACAATTCAGCTTATTCATTTTATCCAACTTCACTTTTCCATAAGCTATTTTTCCAATCACTGATCCAAACGGACCATAAATCAATGATGGGGAAAACTAGTAATGTTGCATTTCACGTAATAGAAATTGTTTTTAATTCCTTCATTTTTTTAAACTTTTTTTACTGCTTCCCATCTTGAATTCATCTTCTCTCCTCCTCAGTTCTTGACTGAAGATTTTCTTTCACCAAAATAAGAATAAGCACGAGAAAAAACGCTGACGAATATGTAATTTAGTTATATCATTCTTTCTTTTTTAGACTGCACGCCTTCGTACCAAACAAAGCAATTTTCCTTCTCTTTCGCGTGAACTAAACGTATTTTAGACACACTCCCCCACACACAAATGAGAGACATGTGAAAATTTTTTAAAAGTTAGAAGTGGGCGATACACGACTAAAGATTAAAGCAAAATTAAAAAGGTCAAGCAAGGCATACAGGAAAATGGTCGTTGATTAAATTATGCATGTTTAAAGCTCATTTTCCAAAGTCTTCTTGGGTGAGCTCAAATTAGTTAATGCTGGTGTTCTGATGCTTTAACACATTCTTTTCTCCCTATTGATGAACACGTGAAATAGTTTAAAACTTAAAAAGCTAAACTTTTGGATAGTGGAGAATATATTAATAAAGAAACCATTTAGACTGTCCTGTGCATAAAAAAAGCCAGTAAGACCGTCCTAATAAATTGGACCACTAGTTATTCTCAACCGGGCATGGTCCACTAATCCTACACAAAATTAACTCGAGAGCAATCTTCACTGAAACTCCCTTACACATATCAGCTTTACTTGGCCACCTGGAATTCACAAAACTCCTTACTCACAAACCCAAACTTGCCCTTGAGTTTGACTCCTTTCGAAGCACAGCCCTTCACTTAGCTTCTGCAGAAGGCCACATCCACATTGTGAAGGAGTTATTGCAAGCTTGTGACCATGCTTGCTTGATCCCTGATCAACAAGGTAGAATTCCATTGCATTATGCAGTTATAAGAGGGAGAACAAATATCGTGTTCGAGCTAATTAGTGCAAAGCCCGAATCACTGTGGATCCTTGATGAGGGGAAAACTGTTTTCCACTTGTCTGTGATGTACAGTCACTTGGAGATTCTTAAAGCTTTGATGGATTTCGATATCGACGCTCGCATGCTCCTCAGTTTGAGAGACTGGATGATAACACTATTCTTGATTTGGCTAGCATGTTGAAGGAAGTTGACGTAATTTTTCCAACTTTTGTATTATTTCAAGACTTGCGCTCTATTACTGTATTACTGATCGTAAAATTTTTGCTGTATTATTACTGTATAGATCATAAGGTTCCTCCTTTCAATTCCAGCAATAAGAGAAGCTGCAGGCGTGGAAAATGAGACGGGTTTTACAGGTCACAAGAAAGTCTCCAAAAGCCTTTACATGCAGCTCATGTTGATGAAATCTGGCATAAAAAAGATTCAAGACAGCAAAATGGAAAGTCCTCTGCACCCTCCACCTTCAACGACTATCCCACAGAAGGGTTGGAGAAAGATTATAAAGATCATGGGACATAACTAGAAGCATAATGGGAATTGGTTAGAAGAGATGAGAGGCAATTTGAGTCTGGTGGCCGCAGTCATCTCAACCATAACCTTTCAAGCTGTAAATAACCCTCCTGGTGGTTTCGTTCAGCAATGTATAAATCCAGAAGATCATGATGATCCACTTGGATGCTTTAAATACAAAACTGGTGGCAAGGCATGCCATGGCGATGCAGTATCAGCTATTAATTACCCACCTTATTTTCATCCCTACTTAAAGTACAATACCATAGCTTTCATTTCATCTCTCACTGTCGTCCTCATACTCGTAAGTGGGGTTCCTCTCAAGCATAAGGCTGTGATGTGGATGTTGTCGATTGCTATGTGGATAACTCTCACATTCTTGACACTCACCTACATTAATGGCCTCTATATGGTAACCCCAGATGGTGAACTTTTTGACTCAGCTTGGAAGATGGTTAGAGTATCACTGAGGATTTGGATTGGCTTCCTTGGGGTGGCTGCTCTGCTTATAACATGGCGCCTGATTATTTGGCTAGGCAAGAAAAAGTTGAGAGAATTCAAGCGTCAGATTCATCCTAGCATCGGCAACGACAACATGTGACGCCAGTGTGTTTTGTCATGAGAACCATAGTAGTTAGGGATCTTTAGAATATGTTGTCAGAGTCTTGGGCCAAACATAACAATTGATGCTTCTTTCTAGAGTTGATCTGAGTTAGTTTTACTTACTTGGAAGTTTTAAATGCTCTGACATTTCCACAAGATTTTAATTTCCTGATGTCGGTTTTGTAAGTGGGAGTTGGTAATTGATTGGAATCCAGCATTAGATCTATTACATCATGAATAATGAAGTTTATTATCATCGCACAGTCTATTTATATATCTAGTTACAGAGCAAATGTGCCATCTTTTTAACACTATTCAATTACATCCAAATATGATGGGGGATTAAAATACTCAGACGTGTTGTTACATCCTTCAAATAAGAGAAATCTTGAGGGCAAAGAGTCTCTCTACTTCTCTTCCTCTCCATTTCCATCCACTTTCCATCTCAACTGTTGAGATTGAAAGTTTAACAGTCCAGATCTCATGTTTTTGAAAATAATTTTATAAAATATTTTTTATTATTGTTTTGAATTATACTGACTAAAATTTAGTAGTTTTATTTGATTTTGTTTATTTATTTTTGAAAATTTAACATTTTATTCATAATTTTATAAATATGAAATCTAAACCGTTAAAATCTCAATCTTATGACTAATATGAGAAGTAGATGAAAATGGATGAAAAAGGAAGTGGAGACACCCATTGCCCAACTTTTGAAGTGTTTTCTTTATCTTATTTGTGGAAAAACCGTTGTTTAGATTATTTATTATTGTTTACCTCATTAAAAAATATTTCTTCAAAGAATCAATTATTAAAAATCATTATAGTCAATTATTAAATGAGAGTGATTTGGTAAAGAAATTGACATCTGTTAACATATTTATTGAATCCAACTGATTTTGACTGTATTTCTTGATTTTTAACAACTAGTAATTCATCTCTTATAAAAAAAATAGAGAATGTGTAGAAAATTAAGAATGAAGAATTATTCGGAATAGATAGAGACTCAAGAGAAAATAGGCTTTTTATTTTTAAGTTATTTGAATAAAGCTCCATTAACAAATGCTTGGAGATTATTCTTTGCTACCAGCCATCATCCAAGAGCTCAAGAGACACACACGCACGCAATAATTCAATTATGTAATGAATGGGCTTTGCATTAATGAGAAGCAGGAGGAAGTTACTAGTGGGGCAAAATAAGTTACTACTCGGCTCAGGAAGTATGGGCTGTCATGGATAGAGATATCAGAGAATTTTTGCAGAGTCATTTCTCCCTCACTAGGGATTAAGTCTAGTGGAAAAAATTAGTCCATCACATATTAGCAAACTAAAATTTAAATCTTTGTTGGAGGAAGTGCTAACATTAGTACCCAATAGTGTCTCAAATATGATTGCCTCTACTAGTAAGATACATGTGCTTCGTAGAAAAAAAAAACTAAATTACTAATTTAGAGATATGAAGTAATACAAGATCTAGTTAACTAATTTGAAGAGATTAAGAAAGTAACTAAATTATTTAATTATAATAAATGTTACATGATCTTTCTGAGATACTTGTGTGTATCATTAGATTATATGTCAATTTGTAAATGAGACAAATTAGTTTGAAGAAAAATGATAAATATAAATATTTTAAAGTAATTTAATAATTTCTTACTTTTTAAAATTAGCTATAAGTAGATCTTATATTGATGGCTGAAGGTAATAATAACAATAATAATAATAATGCCTCCCCAGTAAAGTATTAACCTAACCAATATCATTGTTGAGTAGTATAAATTTTGGAGTCCCAGCAATACCGGCTTTAATATATTCTGGAAGCATGGATTATTTAAATAAAACCGAAATTAAAGGCAGAACATGACACCTATCGTGACTGTTTTAAGTCATGTCTAACAATTATACTTTTAAAATAAATTTCCTTTTTGAATAAACAGTCCAGTGTCCAATCAACTGCATAAACGCTCAAACTTCAAACCTGCTTATATAAGAAACTTCACCCTCCCCCCACCCCCAAAGACACAGAGAGCTATTGCCTCGAACTCGAACTCGAACTCAAACTCTCTCTCCAGTCTCCAATCTCTCCGTCCTCAGGTCAGTCGTCGGTCTACTTTCTCTCTCCCAGCTTCACTTCTCCCTCCTCACTCCTCAATTCTTACTCAGTCCTAATTTCTGAAATTAGTCCAAGCTTGCTTGCCTATACTAACTTGGTCCTCTTTCTCGGATAATCCACATTCCCTCCCCGTGGAATCAGTGAGCAGGGGGTCCTCATCCCCCAAACGGCAGTGTTTGGGGATGACCGAGGTACTTCGTTTTTTTTTTTAAGTACAAATTTATTCCTGATCACACCACACTGGATCTTTTTAGTGGTGCGGTTTTACCATGGTATTTTTTTTTTAGCAACAAAGATTAAAGGTAAAATCGCACCAGCAAAATAAGATTATGGGTAAAATTACATTAAAAAAAAGATTATGAGTAAAATTATATTATTAGAAAGATTGAGGTGCTGACGAAAAATAAGATTGGAGTAAATTTGCACCTTTAATGTTTTGAACTTTTTATTAATTTTTCTTACTTATTTGGATTAAGTTGTATTTAGCACCATAAATTATTTTCTTAATAGCACCTAGTATAATAAAATATTGTTTAGTATTACTTAGTATCTTCAATTAATTAATTTTTGACGTATCCGACACACTAAATTATTTTCTCAGTAGCACTTAGTATCCTAAACCAATTTTTTATGCATCAAACACCCTAAAATATTTTTCTAATAGCACTCAGTATCCTAAGCTTAAACTGCACCAAAATTAATTTTTAGAATATTGAGTGTTGCTAAAAAAAATAATTCAGAGTATTGATGAATACAACTTAACCCAAATAAAAAAAATTAATAAAAGGCACACAAGTTTTTTTCCAAAAAAAAAAAAGGTTTCCTGGCTCATCCCAAACGCTGCTGTTTAGGGGACGAGCATGCCCAATTTATGAGGAGGGCAGGCGGACTCTCTTGTTCCGGGTTTTCTGAAACAAAATCATATCTTGTCAACTAAAATCATGCACTAATTTGCAGACTATTGATTAATGCTTTTAACAATTTGTATTGATTTTCTGTTGATAAGGACTAGAAGGTTTTGTTGAGCATTGGTTTGGCAGCTAATGGTTGGTCCATAAATAGTTAACAAGCAAACGCACACAGCCACGTCAACAACCGAAAATGGAAATAGCAATAGCTGATAACAGTGAAGAAAAGAGAACAAGGGATCTATACGATGCATCACAAAATGGTTCTGATTCACCTTTGAAAGCCCTACTTCAGCAAGACTCATTGATCTTGCACAGACTATGCTCGCGAAGAACCCTCCTTGAAACTCCCTTACACATATCAGCCTGACTCGGCCACCTTGAATGTACCAAAACCCTTCTTGCTCACTGTTCCCAGCTTGCCCTTGAGTTGGACTCATTTCGAAGCACACCTCTTCACTCGGCTTCTGCACAAGGTCACATTCACATTGTGAAGGAACTGTTGCTTGCTCGTGGAGAGGCATGCTTGGTTTGTGACCAAGAACACAGAATCCCTCTGCACTGCGCTGTTATAAGAGGAAGAAGAGAGGCTGTGTTGGAGCTGATTAGAGCAAAGCCAGAGTCTTTGAAGCTGCATGATGACAACGGAAAAATATTTTCCACTTATGTGTGATGCACAACCACTTGGAGATTCTTGAAGATTTGGTGGCTTTGGATACTCATGACACCAATAAGCTGCTCACAGAGGGAGACTCGGATGGCAACAACATGCATTCTCCATTTGGCTATCATGTTGAAGCAAGTTGAGGTACTTTTCACTCACTTTTATTATTAGATTTAGTTTGAGATCCAGAAAGACTAGAGTCAGCTGGATCTCCTTTCCTGCAGGTGACACTACTAGAAAAAAGACTTTTAACGTCGCAAAATAATGGCGGTTAAGCAGAAAAACGACGTGAAAAAAAAGGTGGTGGCATTTTTGTAAATAAGTCGAAGAGGCTTGCAATTTTGGAAAGTGTGTCACTTTACCTTCTCCGCTTCGATTTTCTGTCACTTTCTTTCTCATTTCATCAGTGCGCCGTGGTCCCCCTCTGCCCCACCACCGAAAAACTGCCATTACCGGCCATTCCCGCCACTACTCCACCGTTTAAACTCCTCCATTGAGCTTGTGGAGTCTTGCTGCTATCCGCCGTGGTTCGAACGGCCCTCATTTCGCATCATTCTTGCTCGGCCGTGGTCCCCTCTGTCCTACCACCGAAAATCGGCCATACCCCCCACTATCCCACCGTTTAAACTCCTCCATTGAGCTTGTGGTGCGTCCTCCGCCGTCCGCCGCCATTCGAACGCCCTCATTTCTCATTTGAATCTTCTTTGCTCTGTGAGTATCCTCTT